TCCAAACCTAACGCAGAACATAATTCACCAAGCTTTTGTGTTCAATTGGATAAAAGAGCCTAATGAAAGTTGACAGGGTTGTTTGCATTCTTTCTCTGAATCAGAGCATTACAGAGAGTCTGCTGATGAGTTTTTTTTTTTTTTTATTTCTTACCATGTCTTCTTTTCGTGTAGACTGTGTCATTAAAGACACGTCTCATTTTTCCACTGTTTTCCTCAGCTTATATATTTAAGAATTTAAGTATTCTTATATTTAAGAATACTCACTGGTGGATAGAAATGTGATTAATGACAATTCTTCATTTCTAAAGTGTAAAGAGAAATGGGAACAACTTCCTTAATAAGCATGATGAATCCTCTCTAGCTTTTGTGCAGAATGTCATCACCAGAATAAAAGTTCTCTAGTCACTTGTGTGTACTCAATAGCTCAGTGCTTTAATTATGAGTGAACATTGAGTATTTTCAGTTCTGCTTAGTCTTCTTATAGTCACAATTTTATTTTGTCTAATGTTACAACATGTGTACTAGCCACATAAAACAAATATAAAAACTATCATGTTCTTTAATTTTTCTGCTAGATTATGACAAAATTTTGAATAAAACACAAATGATTCAATAAGTTAAAAAAAAAAGAATATAGGGAATCAAACTGGCTGTGCTGAGGCAGGAGGATTGCTGCACTTTTCAAGGCCAGTCTGGGCTACAGAGTGAATTTGAAGGTAACCTGAATATAGCAAGACCTTGTATAATGAATAAATACATAAATAAATAATAAAATAATGTGTTCTGTAATGTCTACAGTATAATTCTATTTTGCACTGTAATTGTTTTATGCTTTACTAGCTGCGTTATACTCTTCCTTTTTAATATAAATCTTCACCTTTTTAAAAATTTCCTTTAAGGGTATCATTTCTTTTACTTATAGAAGATATACATGTTCATTAGAAAAATTATCAACAGTTTATATGCCTTTTAAAATATTTTATTTATTACTTATGTTTTATGTGTATGAGTATATTGCCTGCATGTATGTGAGTGTACCCATGTTGTGCAATGCCGTGGAGTTCAAAAGAAGTCTTTGGATTCCTCTGGAACTGGAGTTAAGGACGGTTCGTAGCCACCATGTCGGTGCTGGGAATCGAACCCAGCAGTCAGTGTTCTTAACCACTGAGCCATCTCTCCAGCCTGATATATGCTTTATTTTTAAGGAGAAATTTGCTCTATTTCATTTATTTAGTCACTGATTAGTTTAGCTGCAACAAAAGTTAGAGCTAGAGTCCAAACAAAGTTTCAGGTGTTAAAGAGTCTAAACAAAGCAAAGACCTCAAGTTTGCTATGCCTCTGGAAAAAATCCTGGAACATGTGAGCACGATCTACAAGTTCAGACTGAGGCTTTCCCAACAAAGGGTTAAAGTCCACTAGCTGGCTTCCATCTGTTTGCCCACCAAAGATCCCTGAGAAATTTTCATAAATAATAAATCACTTTTAATGTATATTTGTAAAATGAATGTATTGTGTTTTTGTTATTTGTGTTCCATTCTGTTTGTTATTTAATGTATCTTTCATGTCTCCTAATGCCTTCAGAAAGTAAACTCCATGAAGCACAGAGGGTGATGGGGTTGAAGTCTCAGTAGAGACCTGGGTCTGAGACATGGCAGCCTTAACCTTCAGTAGAGACTCTTAGTTCAGATGGCTGGCAGATAGGAGGTCCCTGCAAATTGGAAGATAAGAATCTGAGATAAGTGTGGTGTCAGAAGCAAGGAGTGGAGTTTCTTCAGTCTTTTTCCCAATTCTTTTAGTTGCTCCAAACCTCTGTGGAGCAAAACTTTAACAAATATTTATTATAAAGTTATCATAGCAAAGTACAGCTACATGTCAAAATTCTGGTAATCATAGCAGGTGAGTCTTTTTCAGGACTAACTCTGTCACACATTTTATAAATGTACCATTTCATGTAATACTGACAGAATTCCCCCTGTATTATTGTTATCCTTATTTGAGGGATGAGGACCTAAGTAGAAAGTTTAAGTGACTTTTCTAAGTTCCCATGGGTGGTAAAATTCCTCCTGAGCCTGAAAGTTGGATTTGTCTTGACTCCAGAACCCATTCTCCTGGTCTCTGTGGGGATTTTGCATTTAGCTGATGGTTATGTGGCTTCCACATGAAGAGTTTGATACAATTCAAGTCTGAGTGAACATTAAGTTTCAATTAGAAAGGTGAACTATTAATTCTGTCATTTGAATGAGGTATAGGCAGAAAGGGAGTGCTGAATTATTAAAATTCTAACAGTAAAATCCTTACAAGAAGAAAATCTTAGTCTTATAAACAACAAAAACCTTAAGGATCACCAAGTGAATAAATATCAAAAGGTCATCAAATAAAAGAGCATTTAGAAATTATGTTTTTGTTATTATTTGAGAGACAGCCATGCAAGAAATTTTCATATACTCAAATGTCTACAACATGAGAATCTTCGATTATAAAAATAAAAGGCATTTTGCTAAGTTACATATTTTTTGTATGCAACTACATGCCTATAATTATTCATATCTTGAGGGAAATAAGAATCAATATATGCATTAAATTTTACTTTAAAATTTTTGAAATACTTGTTATCTTCTATATTATAATTTTGGAATTTTTCTACCTAGTAACCACTCCAAAAATTTACCATTCTTACTTACATCTTTTGTCCCTATAAAAAATTTAATATGATTATTCAAATATATGTATATATATCTGTGTATTCACGTTCTTGTATATATGTACCACATATATATGTATATATATACATGTAAGTTTATGTATATATATATGTATCACATATTATATAGATATACCTGTGTATGAATATGTCTTATAACTTTAAACATGCTAAAAGTTATATCAAAAAAATTAAGTATCCTTTAACAAGGCATTGAGTACAATGTGTTATCAAGAATATTCATGAAAAATGCTTGTAGAAGTACTGTTAAAGTATTATTATATAAAAAGATGAATTGTAGAACGATGTGCAAAATTTAAAACTGATTTGGTTGAAAATCTGTGTGTTTGTGTGTTTGTGTGTGTGTGTCTGTGTGTTTTAAAATGAGTCATAATATTGTAAATTGTGGTTTAGATATGTTCTAGAACACTATATCAAATTTCTCAAAGGAAGTATGGCTTGCAAGTCATGGGGAGACTGGAGAGACTTCCATGTTTAATATACCTCTGATTTACTAAATACCCCCCATTGTGTATTTGTTTTCTTAGAATAGCCAGGTCTGGTGCTGTGGTACTATAATTCTAGCTACTCCAGATGCTGAGGCAGAAGGATCACAAGTTGAATACTGCCTGATCTACAGTGCAAATTCAAGCCAACTTGGTCCTGTGGTGGAGAGTTTATCTCAAAATAAAAAAGGATACTGGCAATATAGCTTAGTGGTAGAGCACTTGTCCAACATGTGTAAGGCATCCAGTTCAACATCTATTACTATGAATATGTAAATGATCAAATAAAAATTTAAAAATATGTGTTTGCAATTTGTTGGCATTCAGTGCTCAGGACTCTGAGAGAAAACTTGCCATTCAGCCTAATTTGTACTAATTTTCAGCATCTCACCTCAGCCACAATTTCCCATGAGGCCCAGCATATTTTGAAACTCTGCTTTCCTTTAGGCCATAACCTCTGTGAGGACAGCCCTTCCCTGCATTTTTTAGATCCCAGTTCCATCATCTTCTCAGTTCCAATTCCAGTGTTTCTAATAAGACTTTGTATACGTCATTTTTTTAATGTATTTTTTTAAAAATTTTTT